GTCCTGAGTCTGCCCCCTGTTCGTGTCGTCTCCTGTCTCACGAGACTCTCCTCTGGCACCACCGCCTTGGCCACCCCTCTCTGCTTCGGCTCTGAGGCATGGCCTCTCGTCTACTTGTGTCTGGTCTCCCCCGGTCCCTCCCTCCCCTTCCTCAGGGCCCTGGCCCTGCCTGTGTCCCCTGTGTCGAGGGGCGCCAGCGAGCTGCCCCCCACTCCTCCCAGTTTCCTCCGACAGAGGCCCCGTTGCACACGCTTCACATGGACGTGTGGGGCCCAGCCCGCGTCCGTGGACAGGGTCACGAGCGCTACTTTCTGCTCGTTGCTGACGACTACTCGCGTTACACCACAGTCTTCCCCTTGCGCAGCAAGGGTGATGTCACGGAGGTGTTGATCGACTGGATCCGCGCAGCTCGTCTTCAGCTTAGGCAGCGCTTTGGCTCGGACTTTCCTATTTTGCGTCTGCACTCGGACAGAGGCAGAGAGTTTTCCTCTGGCCTTCTGCGAGCCTTCTGTCGTGCACGAGGCATCCGTCAGACCTTCACGCTTCCGGACTCACCGCAGCAAAATGGGATTGCTGAGCGCCGCATTGGCATGGTCATGGACGTCGCTCGTACGTCTATGATGCATGCGGCTGCCCCCCATTTTCTGTGGCCGTTTGCGGTCAGGTACGCGGCGCATCAGCTCAACCTCCACCCCAGGGTCTCCAGGCCGGAGACCTCCCCAGCCCTGCTGTGGACAGGGAAGGTTGGCGATGCGTCGGCGTTCCGGGTCTGGGGATCTCGGGCGTTTGTCCACGACTTGTCTGCGGATAAGCTGTCCCCTCGTGCTGCTCCTTGCGTCTTCCTGGGGTTCCCCCCTGACGCTCCTGGGTGGCAGTTCTACCACCCCACCTCTAGCCGTGTTCTGCCCTCCCAGGACGTCACGTTTGACGAGTCGGTCCCCTACTACCACCTTTTCCCCTACCGCACTCCGTCCCTCCCCCCACCCCCACTCTTCCTGGTACCAGGTCCCCCTCAGGTAGACCCCTTGCCCCCTCAGGGTCCTGCCCCTTCAGGTGTATCCCAGGTAGACGCAGTCGAGACTGTCGAGGTCACTGGTGACTCTGGTGCTGCTGAGGGTGCTGCCGCTGGGGGTGTTGAGCCTGGGGCTGCTGGACCTGGGGGTGCGGGGCCTGGGGGTGCTGCGTCTGGGGGTGTTGAGCCTGGGGGTGCTGGGCCTGGGGGTACTACGTCTGGGGATGCTGAGCCTGGGGGTGCTGAGCCAGGGCTTACTGAGCCGGGGGGTGCTGAGCCTGGGGGTGCTACGCCTGGGGGTACTGCGTGTGGAGGTGCTCCACTTGGAGGTTCTCCGGGTGCTTCGTCTCGCCGGGAGCCACTCTCTCCACAGGAGCCTCATCTCGTGTCCATGCTGCTTGCCCCTGAGGGAGACCCGGATGAAACAGATATCCCGACCCCGCGCTCTTACGCTGAGGCGATAGAGGGTCCCTACTCCTCTCAGTGGCAGGAAGCTATGGATGCAGAGATGGCTTCCTGGAAGTCCACAGGCACCTACGTTGACGCTGTCCCCCCTCCTGGGGCGAACATCATCAGTGGCATGTGGATCTTCAGGGTGAAGCGCCCGCCGGGTTCTCCGCCTGTCTTCAAGGCGCGTTACGTGGCTCGTGGCTTCAGTCAGCGGCAGGGAGTTGACTACTTTCAGACCTTCTCCCCCACCCCGAATATGACCACTCTTCGGGTACTGCTGCATGTTGCTGCTCACCGTGACTACGAGCTGCATTCTCTCGACTTCAGCACAGCTTTCTTGCAGGGCAGCCTGCACGAGGATATCTGGCTGCGTCGCCCACCTGGCTTCACTGGGTCTTTCCCTCCTGGTACCCAGTGGAGTCTCCGGCGTCCAGTCTACGGTCTCCGCCAGGCGCCACGTGAGTGGCACGACACACTGAGGACTACGCTTGCGGCACTTGGGTTTGCTCCTTCTACTGCTGACCCGTCGCTGTTTCTGCGCACCGACACCTCTCTGCCGCCGTTCTACATCCTCGTGTACGTCGACGACTTGGTCTTCGCCACAGCTGACACTACTAGACTCGCCTACGTGAAGTCCGAGCTGCAGAAGAGACACACGTGCACAGACCTGGGTGAACTGCGCAGCTACCTTGGCTTGCAGATCACCCGGGACAGAGCACGCCGCACCATTACCCTGACTTAGTCACACATGGTGCAGCAGGTCCTTCAGCGCTTCGGCTTCACGTACTCCTCGCCTCAGGCCACTCCTCTGCCTACTCGCCACTCGCTCTCAGCTCTGCCTTCGGATGAGTCCGTAGAGTCGAGTGGCCCGTTTGCAGAGCTTGTTGGCTGCCTCATGTACCTGATGACCTGCACACGTCCTGACCTTGCATACCCTCTTAGCATTCTTGCACGCTATGTTGCTCCTGGGAGACACCGACCAGAGCACATGGCTGCAGCGAAGAGGGTGTTGCGCTACTTGTGCAGTACGTCGGGCATGGGGCTAGTGCTTGGAGGGCGGAGTCCAGTGGTCCTTACTGGGCACGCGGACGCTTCTTGGGCTGACGACCAGGCTACGCAGCGGTCGTCACAGGGTTACACCTTCAGCCTTGGTTCCGGCTCTGTTTCGTGGCGGGCTACTCGCTCGTCTTCTGTTCTCGGCTCCAGTTGTGAGGCTGAGATCTACGCCGGGGCCATGGCTGCACAGGAGCCTCGCTGGCTCACCTACCTGCTGACCGACCTTGGAGAGCCGCCTAGTTCTCCTCCAGTCCTGTACGTAGACAACAAGGCCATGCTGGCCTTGTGTCGAGAGCAGCAACTGGAGCATAGAACGAAGCACATTGCTCTCCGCTACTTCCTTGCTCGTGAGCTACAGCAGTGTGGACAGTTGCGGCTTGCGTACGTGGCCTCTGAGGCCAACACTGCTGATGTCTCCACCAAGGCACTTGCGCCTTGTGATCATCAGCGCTTCTGCACTCAGCTGGGTCTTGTGCCCGTCTTGCCTCACTTGCTCTCCTCTTGACCTTGCTTGTACTCTCACATATATGTATACCTGCTCTTGCTTGTCTAGCTTTATATATATGTGTGTACTCTTGTTTGTGAACTGGCCTTGTGGCCTTGACCTTGTGCTCAGACTGTGTGGTGACTTTGTGATCCACCCTGAGCTTGCTTTGCTTTGCTTTGCTTGACTGGTCTTGTGACCCCTTGTTCTCCCCCACTTTGCCTATGGGGGTGTGTCAGAACATTATAGCTTATGCTGTTGTGTAGGCTATAGTGGGGTATCCCATAGGGGGTACAACCCATTTAGGGTTTCCTATATGTACCCACTTCATTCATAGTTGATGCATTCTCGTTCTCATTATCACACGGGAAACTCCAGCCGAACACCCCCGAGAGTAAGAATATTCCCTCTCGAGGTTTTCAAGCCTTTAAAAAATTCAGGGGAGATTTCAAGGCCAAGAAAAATCCTTCAGACATTATTCAGGTACCTGAGAAGTTGGGCAAACCACTACGGAGCGTTGAAAAGGGTCGTGCGTTCCAAGGAGTTCATATTCTCTCCCCGCAGCACGGTGTTAAGGCTCCCTATTGCCCACAGGTAAAGCCTACACAGCTGCAAAGGCTTAAGGGAAGGTTCTAGGCCAAGACGAAGCTGAATCGGCCTCGGATAAATCCTTCTAACCCTGCTCAGTTGGAAACTGAAATGGAATCAGCAGCTTCGAGCGTAGGACCGAGGGATGATCTATTCGACGTACCCTACGATCCTATAAGCGAGACCATCTATGGTTACTCGGAGCGGCAACAACCACTATTACTCGAGGTGATCTGCAACGGGCGACGCCAGAAGGCACTGGTGGACAGTGGTGCGTCTCACTCGGTGTGCGACCGAACTGACAGACATGAAGAAACAGATAGAATATCTACTGGACAGACAACTGATCCGCCCATCCACCTCCCCCTACAGTGCACCAATCCTCTTCACTCCAAAACCAGACGGCAGTTGTCAGATTTATATGACTTAGCTGCTGTAGGCTATAGTGGGGTAGCACATATGGGGTACAGCTTTCTAGGGTTTGTACTTGTACCCAACCTTCCCTTAGTCTTTTCATTCTCGTTCAATTCCACATGGTATAGAGCAGGTTCCCCTGTGGGAACTGTTCCTAGGGCCCACCGATTTTTTTTTCCTGCCCGGAGCGCGCTCAGCCTCTGCCCGAGTCGCGCTCCCCTCTCACGACCCCGTCGCGCCGCCTTTACGACCCTGTCGCGCCGCCTTAGCGGCCCCGTCGCGTCGCGCCTCCCTAGCGGCCCCGTCGAGTCGCCCTTGCGACCCCGTCGCGCCGCCCTCGCGGCCCCATTACGTCGCGCCGCCCTCGCGGCCTCGTCGTGCCGCCCACACGGCCCCGTTCCGCCGCCCTCGCGGCCCCGTCGCGTCGTGCCGCCCTTGCGGCCCTTTCGCGCCGCCCTCGCGGCCTCTTCGAGCCGCCCTAGCAACCCCTCCACGCCGCCCTCGCGGCCCCATCGCCTACCCTTGCGGCCCCGGCACTGCTCTTCCGGCCCCGGCGCCGCCTCTGCTGGCCCCGTCGCCCCACCCTTGCGACCCCGCGGCCCCACCCTTAAGGCGCCGGTCGCCACCCTTCGTGGCCACGCCGCCGCCCTCAGCGGCCTCGTCGCCGCCCCACCTGGCCCCGCCACCGTCCCTTCAGCGGCCCTGCCACCCTACGCGGCCCCGCCGTCACCACCGAGCCGTCGGCGCCGCTGAGCCGCCGTTGCCGCTGTGCTGCCAAGCCGCCGCTGCTGCCGAGCCGCCCGAGCCACCCGAGCCGCCCGAGCCGCCGAGCCGCCGCTGCTGCCGAGCCACCCGAGCCGCCCGAGCCGCCGAGCTGCAGTTGCTGCCGAGCCGCCGAACCACCGAGCCGCCCGAGCCGCCCTGTCCGGTAAGAGCGGCACCTCTACCACTGCGCTGCCCTTAGCCTACTGCTCACGTTGCTAGTCTATTGCTGTCATGGCTACCCCCAGCGTCCTCACTTTTGACGCTGAGGTTCGGGCCATTGACTTTGACGTCTGGGTAGATGACCTGCAGCTTTTCCTACAGTGCGATAGGGCAGACGGTCTCTCCCTCTTTGACCTCACTTCTGGTGCCTCTCCTGCCCCTGCTGCTGATGCTGACGCCACTGCTCGCTCACAGTGGGCCACACGCGATGCTGCTGCACGTCTTGCTGTGCGTCGCCACTTGCCTACATCTGAGCGTGCACACTTTAGCCAGAACAAGAGTGCTAGGACCTTGTACGACGCTGTAGTTGCACGCTACTCTTCCCCTGCGACTGCTGCAGTTAGCCGCCTCATCCTGCCGTACCTCTTCCCTGACCTCGCTGCTTTTCCCACAGTCGCTGACCTCATTACGCACCTTCGCGCTAGTGACATTCGCTACCGCGCTGCCCTTCCCGCTGAGTTCTGTGCCAAGAACCCACCCCCTATGTACATCACCCTCTACTACATAGTCACCCGACTCCCTGACACCCTTCGCCCAGTCAGGGACCACTTCCTCTCTATTTGCCCCACCACCCTCACCGTTTGACCTCCTCGAGGAGCGCCTCCTAGCAGCAGAGAAGAGCATAGTCACTGTAGGAGCCTCTCGTGGTGACCCTCGTGCCCCTGTCTTTGAGGGGTGCTCCCCCTCTCCTCTTTTGCCCTCTGTTGCCTCTGCTGCTGCGGCCGACCTCGTTGGTCTTGAGTCGGTCGGTGCGGCGTCTGCCCCTAGCAGGAGACGCCGCACTGGCAAGGGCAAGGGGGGCAGGGGCGCTGGAGGAGCTAGCGGGGGCAGTGGAGGCGGCGGTGGAGGCGGCGGAGGGGGTGGGGGTGGCGGTGGGGGTGGTGGCGGGGGTGGGGGCCTCGTTGGCGGCAGTGGAGGCGGAGGCGGCGGCGGCGGTGGCAGTGGGAGCGGAGGTGGCGGAGGTGGCGGCGGTGGAGGTGGCGGCGGTGGAGGAGGTGGAGCTGGTCGGGGTGGCGCTGCCCAGAGGGTCGGCTCCGGTGGTGGTCAGCGCCAGCAGCAGCAGCGTACTCGTGAGATCCCCCCCCCCTCAGCAGCTTCGTGAGTGGTACGCTGCACGCCAGCGGGGTGAGGGTACTGGTCCGTGCACCTACGTCCTACGCACCGGCGACCGCGCGGGTGAGCCGTGCGGGGGTGCGCACTCCACCCAGCGCTGCTTTGGCCGCGTGAAGGACGCTTGGCGTCACCAGTTTCCTTAGGCCACTGAGATCCCTCGCTGGGGCGAGCTGTCTAGGGCGGGAGTAGCTATCTTTGATCTTGACTTTGATGCTATTCTTGCTGCCATGTATGCTAGGACTATTAGTGATGAGGGTGACTGTTACCGGTGTTTTCCGCCTGACCCGGGCATTGGGACTGCTGCTCTAGGTACTGGTGAGGCTGCTGCTCTAGGTGCTAGCGAGGCTGCTGCTCTAGGTGCCAGTGCGTCTGCTTCCTCAGGTGCTGGTGAGTCTGCTCTCTCAGGTACTGCGTTGGCTTCGGCCTCCCACACCTTCACCCTTGACTCGGGGGCTTCTCGCTCCTTCTTTCGAGACCACACCACACTCACGCCGCTTGGTCGGCCAGTTGCAGTTTTCAGTAGAGCTACACTGTGAGATCCCCGATCGATCCTAGGGGGGGTTACAGGCGCGTTTGCCTGGGGGGTTATGGGCGCACTGACCCGCTACTGAAACAAGCCCTTTTATCCCAATGGTCTAGTGGTTGGGATTCTGACAGCAGTCTCTCTAGCACACCCCTCTGGGGGTCCTGTACTTTCTCACTTCTCCACTGTCCTCCCGTGTCCAGCGGCCCCCTCTGGCACCCTGTCTGGTCTTTACCTCCCCTCGTTCTCTACGAACTTGATGAGTGGTGCTGACCTACAGGATGCGGGGGTTCACCAGTTCACTCCTGCGAGCCAGCGGGTGACCCACCGCACGGACGTTCGGACGGGCCTACACTTGGCCATGTTTACACGTCGGCCGGGGTTGAGCCTGTACACACTGACCACTAAGTCTCCTCCAGTCACTGCGTCTGGACAGGCAGCTGCGTTGGGTCAGGTGTTTGCTGCAACGTCCAGGTCTGGTCCTGAGTCTGCCCCCTGCTCGTGTCGCCTCCTGTCTCACGAGACTCTCCTCTGGCACCACCGCCTTGGTCACCCCTCCCTGCCTCGTCTCCGAGGCATGGCCTCCCGTGTCCTTGTCTCTGGTCTTCCCCGGTCCCTCCCTCCCCTTCCTCCGGGGCCTGCCCCTACCTGCGTCCCCTGTGTCGAGGGGCGACAGCGTGCTGCCCCTCACTCCTCCCAGTTTCCTCCGACAGAGGCCCCGCTGCAGACGCTTCACATGGACGTGTGGGGCCCAGCGCGCGTCCGTGGACAGGGTCACGAGCGCTACTTCCTGCTCGTGGTTGACGACTACTCGCGTTACACCACAGTCTTCCCCTTGCGCAGCAAGGGTGATGTCACTGAGCTGTTGATCAACTCGATCCGCGCAGCTTGTCTCCAGCTCAGGAAGAGTTTCGGCTCGGACTTTCCTCTTCTTCGTCTGCACTCTGACAGAGGCGCAGAGTTCTCCTCTGGCCTTCTGCGAGCCTACTGTCGTGCACGAGGCATCCGCCAGACCTTCACGCTTCCGGACTCTCCACAGCAAAATGGGATTGCTGAGCGCCGCATTGGCATGGTCATGGACGTCGCATGTACGTCCATGATGCATGCGGCTGCCCCCCATTTTCTGTGGCCGTTTGCGGTTCGGTACGCGGCGCATCAAATCAACCTTCAGCCCCGGGTCTCCATGCCGGAGACCTCCCCTGCTTTGCTGTGGACGGGGAAGGTTGGCGATGCGTCTGCGTTCCGTGTCTGGGGATCTTGGGCGTTTGTCCGCGACTTGTCTGCGGACAAGCTGTCCCCTTGTGCTGCTCCCTGCGTCTTCCTTGGCTTCCCCCCTGACGCACCAGGGTGGCAGTTCTACCACCCCACCTCTCGTCGTGTTCTGTCCTCCCAGGACGTCACGTTTGACGAGTCGGTCCCCTACTACCGTCTCTTCCCCTACCGCACTCCGTCCCTCCCCCCGCCACCGCTCTTCCTTGTGCCAGGTCCCCCCCTGGTAGACCCCCTTCCTCCTCAGGGTCCTACCCCTTGAGGTGTGTCCCAGGTAGACGCAGTCGAGCCTGTGGAGGTCGCTGGTGACTCTTGTGTTGCTGAGGGTGCTGAGCCTTGGGGTGCTGACTCTGGGGGTGCTGAGCGTGTGGGTGCTGCGCCTGGGGGTACTGAGCCTGGGGGTGCTGAGCCTGAGGGTGCTACGACTGGGGATGCTGAGCCTGGGGATGCTGAGTCTGGGGGTGCTGAGCCTGGGGGTGCTACGACTGGGGGTGCTGAGCCTGGGGGTGCTTCGCCTGGAGGTGCTGAGCCTGGGGGTGCGAAGCCTGAGGGAGCTGGGCCTGCTCGTGTGGCGTCTGGCGGTGCTGGGCATGGAGGTTCTCCGGATGCTCCGTCTCGACGGAAGCCACACTCTCCATAGGAAGTGCGTGAGTGGTTTGCCTGGCGCTGGAGGCGTGCTTCTGGAGCTGGAGGTTCTTCGACTGCTGAGGGTGCTGGTGCCATGGGTCCCGGAGGTGTTCGTACTGGGAATACTGGAGCTGCTAGGCCTGCGGGTACTACTGGAGCTGGAGCCACTGCGTCTTCTCGTGGTACGACTGGAGCTGGAGCTGCTGAGGGTGTTGGCGCTGGCGCTACTGGAGGCGGTCCTGCTGGGGGTACTACTGGTGCTGCTGGAGGTCCTGGAACTACTCGAGCTGCTGGGGGTACTGGAGCTGGAGGTGCTGCTGGCGCTGGTGCTCCTGCTGGGGGTGCTGGAGCTGTCCCTGCTGTGTCTGGAGTCGCTGCGCGGCCTCGGCCATACTTCGTTCCGCTCCTTGAGCAGGTTCTTGGTCTCCCGCCTTCTACTGGTCCTCCTCCTCCCTTAGAGTGTCCACAGCCTGTCCCGTCACAGTTACAATTACGACCGGCCTCCCCACTGCCTGCTCCTTCTCCCTACACTGGTCCTACTGGAGGTCTTGCTGAGCGTCGTGAGCCTGCGTCTCGTCCTGCGTCGCCTGTTCGTGCTGCTCGCGCTAGTGGTCGTGGTTCGCGTCCGCGTCCTCCCCCTGTTCCTGGCACGCACCGGATGTCTCTCTGTCCGTCCACTGCTCCTCTGCGTGCCCCTTTGCCTTCTCCTCCTGAGTCCTCTCTTCCTGCTCTTGCTGACCCAGAGTCGGACTCCCTTCGTATTGCCAGTCCGACTGTCACGCGTCTCCTTGCTACTATTGTCACTGACCCTTCCTTTGAGTCCACTGCTGCGTCCGCCCTAGTTGCTGAGCTCGTCGACTTTGCTGCTCGCTGTCGTCTAGACTATGCTGCTAGTCTTGTTCCTGCGTCCGAGTCTGGCTGTCCTCCGTCCGTCGGGGGTGAGTGTGCCCTTGGCACGGACGTCCTTGAGGACAGGCAGGAGGAGTTCCAGTGTTTGGCTGCTGCTTCACCTCATCTCGTGTCCGTAATGCTTACCCCTGAGGGAGACCCGGATACACTTGACATCCCGACTCCGCGCTCTTACGCGGAGGCGATAGAGGGTCCCTACTCCTCTCAGTGGCAGGCAGCTATGGACGCAGAGATGGCTTCCTGGAAGTCCACAGGCACCTACGTTGACGAGGTTCCCCCGCCTGGGGCGAACATCGTCAGTGGCATGTGGATTTTCAGGGTGAAGCGTCCGCCGGGTTCTCCGCTTGTCTTCAAGGCGCGTTACGTGGCTCGTGGCTTTAGTCAGCGGCAGGGAGTTGACTACTTTCAGACCTTCTCTCCCACCCCGAAGATGACCACTCTTCGGGTACTGCTGCACATAGCTGCTCACCGTGACTACGAGCTCCAACAGCACGACTTGTCCCGGAGCCGACTCTTGACCCATCGAAGATTCTAGCACATCGGGTTCGCCTTGACGCAGCTGGTCGCGACGTGGATTTTCTCATCCGTTGGACTGATCGCATCAGTGAAGACGATGTTGGGTTGAACGCCCTAGGATCTTTAGTAGAGTTAAAGTCTGAGTAAATGATGTAGTAGCGGAAGCGTTTGAATAAGGTCCTTGAACCGCCTTGCGCTAGTATGTGAGGGCAAAGTAAGTTAATTAAAGCAAAGAGATAAAGGAATATATATATGAGTACAGAGAATATGAAGAGACATAATTGTAACTGTTTTACTGTTGCGGTTCGATACAGTGCGACTCGGGCAACTGCTCAATGTCGAGTCAGTTGTGTGTCCTTGCTGTCCCGCTGCGTCAGGTCAAAGGTCGCTAACCTTTTGACTTTCTCGTAACCTCGAGCGGTTACGTTAATCTCCGAGGGTTGACTCGCGGTGCTTCGATTTGAGCTGCTTCGCTTGTGTCTTGAGTTTCGACACGACAGAGGCGCTTAAGACTATTTGTTCCCAACACTCCCCTTCGCTTCTGGAGTGTCGCTGATGGTGACGTGGCTTTGTCCAGTCAGCAGCATGCAGTACTCGAACTTCTGTTTTCCGAGCTTCTTGGTCAAGTAGTCAGCTGCCATCTCAGACGTGGGACAGTAGGATAGTTTGAGTTTCCCTTTCTCGATCTCGTCTTTCACGAAGAAATATCGCAGGGCGATATGCTTCGTTTTTTTCGCGAATCCGCTTTTGTTGGCGATGCGAATCGCAGATTGGTTGTCGCATAACAGATTGAAGTTGGGTAACTCGGCTAACTTCGCTTCTTCCAGCAGCTCGCGAAGATAGAGTCCTTCCTTGGTGGCTGAGCAGAGTGCGATATATTCTGCTTCAGCTGAGGAGAGAGCGATTAGTTCCTGCTTGCTCGATTGCCAGGAGATAGGTCCGATAGGTTCGAGGCGGTAGATGTAGCCAGTGCGGGAGCATCTGTTGTCTGAATCGCCGGCGTGATCGGCATCGACGTAGCCGATTAGTTTCGTCAGTGTAGTTTTACTCTTGTAGTATGTCAGGCCGATCGTCGAGGTGCTCACGAAGTAGTGGAGAGCGCGGTCGAGTTCCGCCAGGTGTTCTGTTTCGGGCCTTTTGAGATAGGTAGCAAGTTGACTTGCAGAGTAGGATAGATCTGGGCGGCAGGTGACGGCTGCGAAGAGAATGCAGCCCAGCTTCCTCTGGTAGTCGCGTATTCCGGCGGTTTTGAGTAGAGCGGGATCTCCTTTGTCGTTCCCTGCCGTGTAGCGGTATGGCGTGGAGATAGTGGTAGGTGTGAGCGAGAAGCGTTTGGCGATAGTGTCGGCATACTTTTCGGCGCTGAGATAGATCGCGTTCTCTTCTTCGCGGATGTTGAGTCCGAGGTACTGAGTGACGGTAGAGGAGACCGTGAGTGTAAGATCCCTCTGCAGCTCCCCTTCGAACCAGGTGGTGACGTCGTCGGTGGAGCCAATGTAGAGTAGGTCGTCGACGTAGACGATCAGTAGGATATAGTCGGCGTTTTTGGTGAGTCGATACATTCCTTGGTCGTGAGGTAGTTGGCGGAATCCGATGTGAGTGAGGCGAGTGTGTAGGTGCTGTTGCCACAGCCGCGGGGCTTGTTTGATACCGTAGAGCGATTTCAGTAGCTGGCAAACTTGGTTAGGTTCC